ATGGCGGCGGCGCCTTTGTTACCCCGCCCGGCAGAGGCGCTCAAAATGGCAGCGTCGAGAAAATGTGGCGCAGAGAGAAATGCGAGACAAAGAAGGAAGCGCCGCCCCAGCGGGAACGCAGCCCGGCCCGGGACTCCTCCCCCGGTTGTCGCCGGCTCCTCCTCTTTTTTTTTTTTTTTTCCTTCCCCTCGCGTTATGAAATTTTGCTACCTTGATTAGCTGCGGTTCGCGGCGAGTTCGCCCCTTGCTGCCCTACCCGCAACACCTTCCTCGTTCACCTGCCCACATCGCCTGCTCGGCGCCGTTTTCTTTAAGAATCAGTTCCTTTGGTCGGAAACAGTGGCAAAAATAACCTTGTTAAGCTCCTCCCTTCTTGCCCAGCTCCTAATTCCTAAGCCCTGTGGGGAGGGTATATGGAGCCTCAGGCTGTTATCTGTCCTTGTAATCTGAACTTCAGATGTTTGGGCAGCCGACCTGGTAAATCCAAGCTGCTTGTTTGGCATCAATAGTGTGTGCTTGGGACTATAGTAAAAATATATTGTGCCAGTTGTTGCTGTCTAGAATTGACAATTGGGAGGGATTCCAGAAATGCACTTTGGCTTTATATCAAAAGACATTAAATAAAATGTGAGTGCAAACATAACAGAACTTTTTTACAATGTGGCTTCCCCCCCCCTGTAGATTTGGTGCACCAAGATTCGGAGGGAGCAGAACAGGACCCCTCTCTGGAAAGAAGTTTGGAAATCCTGGGGAGAAACTAGTTAAAAAGAAGTGGAATCTGGATGAGCTGCCCAAATTTGAGAAGAATTTTTATCAGGAACACCCTGATTTGGCAAGACGCACCGCAGTGAGTGATTTAATGTGGCTTTTACTGGCTAACAGCTTCTACTCAATTGGATTGAAGCTGACAGGTGCCTTGCAAATGTCTCGAATTCAAATTATTATTTGTGGTGTGGTTTCCAAATGTGTCCATTGAATCTAGTGTAAAAATTATTTGAGCCAGGCGCTGGTGGAGCACGCCTTTAATCCCAGTAATCGGGAGATAGAGGCAGGCTCAAACAATACAGAGAAGCCCTGTCTCGAAGCACCAGAGGGTAAAAAAAAAAAAAATGTGTATTGGCCAGGTGTTATGGCACTAGTCTTTAATTCCCATCACTGGGGAGACAGGCAAGCCAATCAGCCTATTTGGGCTACATAGTGAGACTTTTTGGTTTTCGAGACAGGGTTTCTCTGTGTAGCTTTAGAGCCTATCTTGGCACTCGATCTAGAGACCAGACTGGCCTCAAACTCAGAGATCTGCCTGCCTCTGTCTCCCGAGTGCTAGGATTAAAGGTGTGCACCACTAAGGCCCTGCCCTAGGTGAGTGTTTTAAGTACATAAAAATTGCTGCTGAGCTGTAGGGGACTTGTCAGTGCAGTTGGCTGAGGTTTGAGACTGGGGTCATTTGTTTTTCAGCAAGAGGTAGATACATACAGAAGAAGCAAGGAAATTACAGTTCGGGGTCACAACTGTCCAAAGCCTGTTCTGAATTTTTATGAAGCAAACTTCCCTGGTAAGGACTAATTTTCATCTCAATTCTTTTCATTTGTTCCCTCTTCTTGCGTAGGGTTTTTGCTAAAAATGGTATTATTGGTTTTACAGCAAATGTCATGGATGTGATTGCAAGGCAGAATTTCACTGAACCCACTGCTATTCAAGCTCAGGGCTGGCCAGTTGCTCTAAGTGGATTGGATATGGTTGGAGTAGCTCAGACTGGATCTGGGAAAACATTATCTGTAAGTTTAGGGAAACTTGATACATTCTGGGAGTGGTGACCTGATAATCTTTCATTTTTAATAAAATTTCTGTTTTCACGCTTCCCCTCCAACAGTATTTGCTGCCTGCCATTGTCCACATAAATCATCAGCCATTCCTAGAGAGGGGTGATGGGCCTATTGTAAGTATTTCTTAACTTTTTTGGTCCTTAACACTAAAAATTTTTAGACTACATAATCCCACTCAGTTTGCCAGAACTGGTTTGACTTTAGTTCCTTTTTCAAGTTACTAATGTCCAAGAACAATAAGCAAGGACGGATTTCAATCCCTACAACCTACACGTAGAGAACCAATCAGAAGTTCTGCTTTCCACATGTTCTCCCACATGCAAAAAAGTCTCTCTATCCTGAGCATAGTGGTTCATGCTTAATAGTCAGTGATCACTACTATAATCTCAGGCAGAAACTAGAGGATCTGGGAGTTGGAGGCCAGCTTCAATGACAGAAAGCCTTGTCTTAAATAAATCCAATTCCCAGCATGCACCCCACCTCACCTCCAAAAAAAACACAGCACCATAGTATACTGTTGTGTACTAAAAGCTGGGGTTTTTTGCAATTTTTTTTTCCTTAGTGCTTGGTGCTGGCACCAACACGGGAACTGGCCCAGCAAGTGCAGCAAGTTGCTGCTGAATACTGTAGAGCCTGTCGCTTGAAGTCTACCTGCATCTATGGGGGTGCTCCCAAGGGACCACAGATTCGTGATTTGGAAAGAGGTACATGATCATAAAGGGGGCTCCTTGTTACTGGTGGAATGAAAGGTTTACATGTTATAGTTACATTTGCTCCTTTAATTAAAGGTGTGGAAATCTGTATTGCAACACCTGGAAGACTGATTGACTTTTTAGAGTGTGGGAAAACCAACCTGAGAAGAACAACTTACCTTGTCCTCGATGAAGCTGATAGAATGCTTGATATGGGATTTGAACCCCAAATACGGAAAATTGTGGATCAAATAAGAGTGTGTATCCTTATGTTCTTAGTAAAGATCAGTTCTAAGTTTACTCTTAGGGTTCCAGTCTTAATTTATTTCCCAAAATTTTTTAGCCTGATAGGCAAACCCTAATGTGGAGTGCAACTTGGCCAAAAGAAGTAAGACAGCTTGCTGAAGATTTCCTGAAAGACTATATTCATATCAATATTGGTGCACTAGAACTGAGTGCAAACCATAACATTCTTCAGATTGTGGATGTGTGTCATGATGTAGAAAAGGATGAAAAGTAAGTTTAAATCTTAGCAATTTGAGAAGATCTTGAATTGTACAAGAGTAATTAGTTTTGAAAGTTGTCTTAAAATGAAATTTAGTATGGTATAGGTTCTTTTTAAAATGTGTTTGTGGATATATATATAGCTTGGTGATAAACCACTTGCCTGCCTGGCTGGCTTAAGAAAAAAGCTATATGAGTTTGAGCCTGGCCACTTCACAAGCACACGAAGTGGTATGCCAGTCTTTATGAAAATCTGTGTTGTGCTTGCCTAGTATTTAACCTTACTTCCTGTAAGGAAAGGACAGCCACGTGTCATAAGCTTTTACAGAAGTGGTTTAGTGGGTGTGTTGTTTTGACTTCCGTTGATACGTTTCACTAAGCACATTTCTTTTTTCTTTTCTCTTTAGGCTTATTCGTCTAATGGAAGAGATCATGAGTGAGAAGGAGAATAAAACCATTGTTTTTGTTGAAACCAAAAGAAGATGTGATGAACTTACCAGAAAAATGAGGAGAGATGGGTATGTGGTTTCCTGCCTCATGGTACTTTGATCAAAAGAGAGTTTTGTGGGGATCATCTATTCTACAATATAAGTAGAATTATACAAATTGATTTCAATGACAGTGTAGTGGTAACAGCTCAGGGATATAATGCTCAGTGGGAGAGCACTTGACTAAGATGAAGTACTATAGGGTTAGATTAAATATTGGTAGATTTCTGCCTTTGGGTTTCAAATGTAAGAGAGCTAATATAACTTGTTAATACAGGTGGCCTGCCATGGGCATCCACGGTGACAAGAGTCAACAGGAACGTGACTGGGTTCTAAATGGTGTGTATTTCAAATAAGATGAAGTTTGTTTATAACCTGATAACATTTGCTTGGATTAATGATCATTTATGTGTATGTCTTTGTAGAATTCAAACACGGAAAAGCTCCTATTCTGATTGCTACCGATGTGGCCTCCAGAGGGCTAGGTTAGTACAAACTCGAATTCATGGCTTGGTTTCCCAGAAGATCTCCATGTAGTTTTTTTTAAAGAAAGTTTATTGCTTTCTTTAACCTCTGCATTTTTTCTAAGTTTTTTTCACATAAAGGTGCAGTCTTTGTGGCAAGGCCTAGGCATGACAATCGGAGGACTCGAGGGGGATGGAGGACTAGTGATCGGCTGGCTGCTTCCAGTCGATTAGAGAGGTGAAAAGCTGAAAGTGTGCCAGTAATCTTCAAAGGGCAGAACATACCACCTCTGCCCCATAAACTGTTCTCTCCGGGGGAAAAAAATGGAAGTTACCTCACAGTTCACTGCCGTGGTATTTCATCTGTCCCATGCTTTGCATGATTGCCATGGTACAGCATTGTTTCAAACTGTTCACTGTGATCTGTGGGTCTTTGAGTTTCAGTGAGTTTGCTGAAATGTCGAAGAAATGTTTCCAAACTTCAATGTTCAATGAAATTTTTGTTCAAGTTTGAAATGGAGAGAGCAGCTTTAAAAGGTACTAAGCCTTTTACAAATTGGTGAGTACTGGCACATGAGACCTAGAGCAGCAGGGTCAACTTCTCACACATAGTCAGTGGGAAAAGAAAGTGCCTTGAAAAAGTTCCTCCCTCACCTACACAGTAGTCGTCATGTCGAGACCTGCCAGAGAGAGACACATTCTCAAGTGAATCCTGGCTTCTTGGAAGCGCTTGCCTAGACGAGACACAGTGCATTAAAACAACTTTTGGGGGACAGGTATGTTTTTCTTGCAGCTGCAGTTGTAAGGTCTTGGCAAGACAAGCAGTGTGGCCAGAATTTTGAACTTCTGATGAGTGTGATGCAAAGGACCTTGTACATTTTTCTTAAAGGTCCTCAAAAATGAGCACATGAAGAGGTTGCTGTGAAACTTTTAAGTGGCCCTACTGCGCAGAAGCACTCAGATGTCACTTGATGATCTGTAAGGGGACTTTGCCAATTTGGGAATGTGCTAAGGAGAATACACATTCCCTTGATAGGCTGTCAATGGGCGGGTGATAACTTAATACAGCTGACATGTGCTTTTTTTTTCTTTTTTCTGCCCCCACCCTCTTTTTTTTCCTACCTCAATGGTATTCCTACAGGAAATGGATAACCATTTTAACTGTATTTTTTGCAGCCCGTACCTTCTTGGGAATACAATTGTCTAACTTTTTATTTTTGGTCTGGCTGTTGTGGTGTGCAAAACTCCGTACATTGCTATTTTGCCACACTGCAACACCTTACAGATGTGGAAGATGTGAAATTTGTCATCAATTATGACTACCCTAACTCCTCAGAGGATTATATTCATCGAATTGGAAGAACTGCTCGCAGTACCAAAACGGGCACAGCATACACTTTCTTTACACCTAATAACATAAAGCAAGTGAGCGACCTTATCTCTGTGCTTCGGGAGGCTAATCAAGCAATTAATCCCAAATTGCTTCAGTTGGTCGAAGACAGAGGTTCAGGTAAGAGATCTTACAGGTAGTTGGGGTCACCTCATTGTCTACAAAGTCTTTTTTAAGTGGGATTGGTGGGGTAAGTAGTTTATGTTGAAACCTAAGATCTGAAAGAACACTTCGGCTGCCATGAGTAGAGCTACCTAACTCTAGCACATTTATGCCATAGATTTGATACATTCTCGCTTGCTTTCTTGACAGGTCGTTCCAGGGGTAGAGGAGGCATGAAGGATGATCGTCGTGACAGATACTCTGCGGGCAAAAGGGGTGGATTTAATACCTTTAGAGACAGGGAAAATTATGACAGAGGTTACTCTAGTCTGCTTAAGAGAGATTTTGGGGCTAAAACTCAGAATGGTGTTTACAGTGCTGCAAATTACACCAATGGGAGCTTTGGAAGTAATTTTGTATCTGCTGGTATTCAGACCAGTTTTAGGACTGGTAATCCAACAGGGACTTACCAGAACGGTTATGATAGCACTCAGCAATATGGAAGTAATGTTGCAAATATGCACAATGGTATGAACCAACAGGCATATGCATATCCTGCTACCGCAGCTGCTGCGCCTATGATTGGCTATCCAATGCCAACAGGGTATTCTCAATAAGACTTTAGAAGTATATGTAAATGTCTGTTTTTCATAATTGCTCTTTATATTGTGTGTTATCAGACAAGATAGTTATTTAAGAAACATGGGAAATGCAGAAATGACTGCAGTGCAGCAGTGATTATGGTGCACTTTTTTCGCTATTTAAGTTGGATATTTCTCTACATTCCTGAAACAATTTTTAGGTTTTTTTTGTACTAGAAAATGCAGGCAGTGTTTTCACAAAAGTAACTGTACAGTGATTTCAAATACAATAAATGAAGGCAATGCATGGCCTTCCAATAAAAGATATTTGAAGACTGAATTAAGTGGAAATTGTACTTTATTTTACATATATGATGTCATGTAAAACTTGGCTTAGATAGTATGTTTCGGGGGGATTTTCTTTCATTTTGGTGTTTTCTTTTTACACAAAAACTAAAGTTGACTACTTGCCATTCTTTGATTTAGGATTTAGGAGGTGAGAGAATCAAGAAGGCCCTTAAGATGATCTATCTCTAAGAATTGAGGGGCAGTGGGTTTTTTTTATAAATTTGTTAGTAGCTTTCAGCATCAGGGATAACATGGTGACTGTTCTATTTTGCAAAAAGTGCTGGCATACTTTATTCTGGACCAAAATGCACAAAGTTGAAAGACTGTTAGCCCAAGAACTGTGCGCTGTGTCCTTGGTGCAGCTTACACACAAAGTAATCTAGTCATCACCCATTCACCAGGGTTCCTAGAGCCACACTGGCAGTCAGGAATGTCTCCACATTGTTTCAGGGCATTTTAAAGGTCTTCAGATTGTAGGCTAGTCAGTACTCCCAACACAAGGAAGAAAACCTCAAAATTAACCAATAGTCATGCAACATAATCACAAGCACAGTTTTAAGAAGAGTTATTATTTAATGTGCTAGCTGCTAGAAAGATCAAGAGAGCATAGCCATAGATTTAAGTGGGTTTGCAACAGCTTTATTTTAGAATGGGAATAAGGTCTAAATTTTGTCTTCCCAGAAAATGGTGTGTTTCCAGGGAAAAGGTCTTAAAGGAATTTCATTTAATTTTCTCTTTTTTTAAAACAGGCTTTGTTAATTCCTCGTTAAAATGTAAAACAAATTAGAATGTGCTGGGGTGGCAGCTGGGATTAACCTCAAATGTTTGCCAGGGCTGATACGTTGAAAACTGGTTCATCCTTCGAGTACCCTGAGTGGTTTTCAATGACTTGGCTAGTCAAATTGATTATTTTTAGTTATAGGGGTAGATTGGAGCATTTATTACATACTTTACTGTTATGTCTTAATGTGGGCCTTTATTTTGTAAATATGGAAATGATTGTGGGGCTTAAAGTTACCTTTGAAGTTTTAAGACAGTCCACTTTTTAGCATGTGTGTTGTGTCCAGCCTGTGGTTGTCTTAACTAATAAATGTGGTTTTTCTCCCCATTCTCTCCTTTTATTTATTTGCGTAGAGCCATCTTACCTGGGGTTTTGCAGCCCACACATACCACACCACACCTTCGCCATTTGATACAGACCAGGCTGGCCTTGAAGTCAGGATTTTTGCCTTCTAAGTACTCAGACTAAAGAGATTGAAGGAGTGAGCTACCACGCCTGGCCTGCGCCTGATTTTCACACTCCCCAACCCTATGAACTTGCTTCCACTTCTCTTTCTCTTAGTTGTTTTGCTAGGTTTACTCATCTCTCAGGGATCTATAGCCACTTTCAGAGATGCTTTTAAGCACAGACACACTCTTAATCCCAAAGGCCAGCGGATCTATGAGTTCGAGGCCAGCCTGGTCTACATATCCAGGACACCCGAGGTTGTGGCACAGAAACTCTGGTGGGGAGGAGGGAGTCGGGGAAGTCCTTAAGGCCTGCTGTCTAGGCCACACCCGGGAGGGCACCAGTGGCAGTATTTGCCGGCATCGGAACATAATTCAGGTTTAAACTAAAGGACTAGAAGTGAGGAGCCATTTCCCTTGGAGATAGAACGCTAAGCCTCAACACCCGCGCTGTCTGGAACAACATTTTGGTAGCCCTGGCAACTCGGAAAAATTGAGTTGTTACTAACCCCGTGGTAAAACTGATGTGAGTGGAGCTCACGGAACACGGAAAATTCCCCAAGTTAGTAAACCGCAAGCGAAGGCCGGGATACGCCCAAGGAAGCTGCTGCCAGAGCGATGGCGCACTTCCGGGGGCGCGGCCCGGAGCACGTTCGTTTCCGCCGCGCTTGCGCCCTGGGGTCCGGTGCGCTGCTAGGTTTGA